GTATTGAACTACGGCGAGTGATCAGATGATCGGTGGGCGGAGATCGCCGGACCCGCCAGCTTTGAGGCATGATAGGTCGCCGAGGTCAAATTTTTCCATGCGAATTGCGCGTCAGTTCGCACCCTCAGGAGGTCCGTGGGTCCCTCAACTAGGTCAGTTTCCCTTTCTTGTATAACTCGAGCTACTGTGCTGTTTGAAGGTTATGATTTGGCTTAAAGAGAAGCCCCGGAATAAAACGGGTGTGTTAGAGCGTTCAGCAATGAAGCTGGAGGTGGGATTGGTTTGGAAAGCAAAAAAAACCGATCACACCTCTTATGAGAATCTCATCTAGGGCGCATTCCACTTGGGATAGGGCAGGAGCCTCTTCGGTAACCGTCATGAGGCCCGTCGCACGGCAAGAAGGCAGGGTCGCGGACGAGTCGCAGCGCGCATTGTAGCGGTTAACCGTCGAGTTAAGTAGAATGTCCTACAGTACGTCCCCCAAGTAGGCGCTGCGAATCGTTCGCTGGCCCTGCCTTTGGCCGTGGACAGGCCTCCTGTCGGAGTACCCTCAAACGAGCTCCCAGAGCATTGTCGCTCACTTCCAAGCCACAAAAGGAAGGCGACATCAACGCTTGTCCGCCTGCCACGATCGGATTGGGAATGGAATAGGTGAGCGGGCCTGATCCCGGATCGTGCCTTTGAGCCTTTCATCCATAAAAGCATAAGTGAGGTTCTCTATTGCACGTCTTAGACTGATGTGAATGAAAAAAGGCAAACCTCAACGAGTTAGGCTAATCCCTTCAGATACTAACCAGAAGTTGAGGATAATAGGTTACTCGTAAAAGAAGAAAAAAACGAAAGAATTGCGAAGACGTCGTCAACCCTCTCTTCACCAGCTGCAGTCGATATTGTTGTGGTGGGTGGGCTCGTTGAGACGAGTTTCCCGAACCGCTAGCTCCGTGCTAGTTGCCCTGACGCAAAATGGCGCCGATAGGATTGCGGCCATGCTCCTCTGGCACCTGCGGCCGACAGCGGAGGGCAGTGTTAGCTGTCGAGGCGTGCATTGCGAGTTGAGGAGTTTACCGCCTCTACTGCGTCAGTTCAAGCCAGGAAAGGAGTACGACATCAACGCTTGCCCGCCTGTATCCATCGATCGCTGAATTAGTATTGGTGAGTGTGCCTCACTCCGGACTGTACCTTTAATTTGGTTAGTGTTTATTAGCCTTGGGGTCAATAAACGAATACACGGGGTCATCCGATGTCAACTGATCTTCATTCTTCAAGCTTTCGCGTGGGGTGGACCGATAGAAGAGCCGTGGCACCTTTCGTGGGTAATCCTGCCTTCTCCACATCATTGAGACGAGAAAAGAACGACAAAACCGAGGATGAGAAACGCGGTTTTTCCGTTGAGGAGTTTTCCAAAGCGCTGCATAATTCAACCTTTCAGTGCGAAAATTGAGGCTGTCGCAGAAAGAATGAGATGCTGCTGGCAGAGGGAAAGGGCCATAAAAGAGAGGCATCAGCACAAATGTTATGTGATTCGAAGCGAACGACAAGGACAACGTGATGAAAGAAAGAGGCTCAAAAAAGAAAAGAATACAGGAGAAAATGAGCAATCAGGAA